CCCGCAGCTGGAATCGAACGCAGGACCCCGGTGTTACGAACAGCGTTCGTAATGGCTAATCCACAGAATCTGACAATAACTAACTTGCGTGTCATAAATGACGTTTATTTAGCTTACTGATTTAGTGATTTGTTTAAGGACTTTGCTGATATCAGACGCTTTAGACCGAAAGGGCAGATATTGAAGCGTAGGCTGTATGACAAAATTTGTTAAGTGCCAATTTAAAGGCAAACGGAAATGAAAAAATATTCACATCGGCCTTTCCCCTGCGTAGTCAGTCCTTCTATGCTGTAGTCGTCCCAAGGTATCTCTTCTGATTTGTTTCCATTCAAACGTGGTTATATCTCAAATTTTGACCTCGAAAAGGGTGTAAACTGCTTCGCCAGGTTTAACTTGCATGTTACGAAGACGAGTTAGTGTCAAAGATTGGTCGCTGTCCCCCAGTCTAGTCCGTATAACTTTGATTATGTCAGCTCTGTCCATACTTTCTTACCCGTGTATCAGGGCCACACTTGCAATCACATCCATTTCATTGCATTTTACACTGGTGTATCACCAAGTGTGTAGATACAATTGATCGAAATTTGGTGTGAAACTCGAATAGTGTCTACCCATCGTTGAGTTTGGGGCTCGAAGGGTTGTCTACCCATGATCAAACGTGACTCTGAAAGGTCTCCTCCCATTTAGAAGGGAATCTACCTATTGCGTTTTTTTTTGTTTTGTTTTTTTTTTGGTTGTTGTTGAAAGGGTCTGAAATGATCACTGTACTAGTACTGGGGCCTAAAATTGTGAAATTAATTATTACAATAGTTTCCAGGGCCTGCGGCCCTAATTAGGCAAAATAGAATACAGACTGCCCCTTAAAAAAACAAAAGAGACCTTTGTTATATAAGCGTTACAGAACGCTCCAGAACAAACAGCAGCCTTTTGTGGTGTTTAATTTTGCTGATCAATCCAACGTTCAATAGTTTGCAATTAGTTCAATAAACGTTGGGTTCTCGACAAAGCTGCCGAAGTAAATGCAGAGCAATCTGCTGCCTAATCGAACCAGTTAATTCTGCATTACAAAGCGCGTTCGCAACACCTAAGCCACAGACGTTGGCGAGCTAGTGGTAAAAGGCGCTTATTGCTGAAATGGCATGTCTCAGAACGGAAAGTTACTGAATCAGAGATAAAGCAATATACTAGGAAATCAATAATTGCCAATACTGGTTTACTGCATTGTTTACCGATACCGACAAGCTTGTAAAAATATATATCTAATACCATATAGATCTAATACCACATAGATCTAATACCACATAGATCTAATACCACATAGATCTAATACCATATAGATCTAATACCATATATATCTAATATATAGATCTAATTCCATATAGATATAGTACTGTATTGATCTAATACCATATAGATCTAATACCATATAGATCTAATACCATACAGATCTTATACCATAGAGATCTTATACCACATAGAACTAATACCATATAAATCTAATATCACATAGATCTAATACCACATAGATCTATTATTATAGATCTAATACCATTTAGATTTATTACCATATAGATCTAATACCATATAGATCTATTATTATAGATCTAATACCATTTAGATTTATTACCATATAGATCTAATACCATATAGATCTAGTTCCATATACATCTAATACCATATAGATCTAATACCATATAGATCTAGTTCCATATACATCTAATATCACATAGATCTAATACCATATAGATCTATTACCATATAGATCTAATACCATATAGATCTAGTTCCATATACATCTAATAACATATAGATCTAATACCATATAGATCTAATACCACATTGATCTGATACCATATAGATCTAATACCACATAGATCTAATACCATATAGATCTAATACCATATAGATATACCAAAGATCTGATACCACATAGATCTAATACCATATAGATCTAATACCATAGATCTGATACCACATTGCTCTAATACCTATAGATCTAATACCATATAGATATAATACCATATAGATCTAATACCATATAGATCTAATCCATATATATCTGATACCACATAGATCTGATGCCACATGGATCTAATACCTAAAGATCTAATACCACATAGTACTGATACCACATAAATCTAATCCATATAGATCTAATACCACATAGATCTAATACTACATAGATCGAATACCTATAGATCTAATACCATATGAACGATGCTTCAATGGCTTTTAAAAAATGTCACTTTACTTTTTTTTTTTTACGAGGTCCCTTCAGAAAGTAATGAACAAAATTGTTTTTCTCATGAGTTGTTTTTTTCTAAAAGCATAAACTTTAAATACAAAATACGTGGACATTTCATGTAAACATCAGCATTATTCAATATAATCGCCATCAGCTTGCACGGCTTTATGCTAGTGCGAAACAAATGCATGAATCAGATTTTGACTCGACGGTGTTGCCATTTCTCCTTAGTCATCTTTAAACTTTGTTCCTGGGCGTGCATCTTTCTGTGGACAAAATAGATGAAAATCAGAAGATGCCATATTAGGACAATATTGAACTATGTGAACGCATTGCATGCCTTGTTGTTTTTTTTTTCCAGTGTCCCAATGTAAGCTTGCAAAGTAGTTTCTCTTCTCTTGTCAAAGCATCCACAAGAACCACACCTTCTATGTCCCGAAAGTCAGTGATCATGTCCTTTCCAGCTGAAGAAGTTGTCCTAAATTTATTTTGTCTGGTGAATGCGGATGATGCCACTCCACTAGTAAGTAAGTTAATTGTACCCCACCAGGGCATCACACAAAGCGATAAACACCCAGTGACACAAAGTATCAGCATGCGGATAAGGATCACCCGTGGAGGGGTTCCTAAAACCCAGTTCAGCCGTTTAGGCCATATTTAAGGCCTAGCAATAGTTAGTGCCTCAGGCAAAATCCAGGGTGGGGTTCAAAAAAAGGCAAATTACAAATTATGTGAAGATGTCTAAAACCCACCCCACTGACTGATCTGTTTGTCTCGAGATGAAAATGATGTGCACTGATTTCGTCACCTCTTATCTTAGCTACAAATTAAAAATTGAAACACTCCTGATTCCTTGAATGTCTGAACCCAGCCACTGAGTGTACTCCTGACGACTGCAAAACTTACATACATATACTACAGATGCCAGAAGATGAAGTAGAATCTTGCATGCACAGCAGAAGCTTGCCTATTATTAGTAGGTAGTTCCCTTTCACTATTTGTTTTGGCCCGTTTATTCCCCTAGACAAACTCGGATGTCAGATCGGACAAGAAAGACGTTATGGTGATTGGGACAGGTCCTGAGGTTATGGTAATATCGTCACTGTGGCAGCACACTAAGGCGCCTACCTGTACGACCAGAGTAACAATTGGACTGCTGGTTCATCGAATAGACGTTGGACAGACAAACTTTGGCAATTGGCACCGGGTACACGATAGAACAAATTTGGCTCAAGGGATTTAAAAGTTGTTTTCCACTAGACGTTCTGACCAGTTTACCGAGCCGTTGTGTCCACAAACAGATCCTAGCACTTTTAGCAGCATCGTCTAGTTGTTTTAGTGTCCATTTATACGCAAGCCCAGCTGCTTTAGTTATCTGTGTGTAGAGGTGGCGATAAGCTTTCTTACGCCATCCTGGAGGTCTAAGAGTTTTACTGCATACCCTTCATCGTGCCTCAAACTGGCGACAAGTTTGCTGTCCTTTTTGAGCCTGTACATGTTTGGTTTTTGATTCGCGACTCGTACGGCACGCTCAGCTCTAATTAGCTTTGAGGAACCGCAAGGTAGGGATGAAAAGACTGGCCCTCTCGTTAGTTCTCATCCTGGTTTTGTCCACAATGTTGGCCAACTCTTTAAGGACCTTATTGTAGCGCCATGAGTTTCGTTTCTGGCTCAGGGCTTTTCTGCATGCGGACAATAAAAACAAGAGCGTCTGCTTCGCTCAGCATAAGGAACATGTGGGGTCGTTGGTGGCATGCTATTTGACTAGGTTAACGCCTGAAGGTAACACATGGTACGCAGATCTAATGACAAAGTTCAGTCGCAGTGGAGTCATTCGCCAATTCTCACCCCAAGTGAGTTCTCGTGTCAAGGCACTTCGAGGCCGATCCACTCTCCTTGTTGCGACAACAAGGCTGCTTTCTGAACCTGTAACTCGTTCTCGGTGTCCCTTATCTGCTGTGTCACCATATCTCTACGCTCTTTAACTGAGGCCCTCGACCACCACGTGACATTCCCCTGCCCTAAGCCGCGTCCCTTAGTTTGCATGTAACCTATGATTTCCTTCAACTTTTACTGCATTATGGGCAGATTCTATCGCATTGTCCATCTTGCATTTTCGCCCGTCATTAGCGCGGGCTGCACAGAGTTGGGTTCTGCAGATTCTAGGAACATCATCGCTAGTCTGGCCTTGTTGACAGCATGGCCTGTTTACAGTATAGAGCAACCTTGGTCAGACATGGCGGCGCTCCGAGCTTTTTCCTCATGGCAGTTTTGATTTCCTGCTCCATCGCTTCTACAGCGCTCGTGCTAACCTCGTACGCCAGCAGCTAGCAGAGGAACTTTGCAATAAACATACATTGAAGACAACTAACCCTCTCCCCACCGGCATAAGCCTTCTCTGTTAGATAGCAAGCAAGCCTGCTGCTGGAGACTAGCGACTATTCACAAATGTATCTTTATCTGCAACGAGGAATTATATTAACATTTGCTGCTTTTATCACAAAATGCCAATATGCTCAATTTCAACGGTTTAGGGCAGTGTTTGTGTGTGTGTGTGTGTGTGTGTGTGTGTGTGTGTGTGTGTGGCTAATTAGAATGAAATTTGATACACAGAATTGCAAATACCACATGTAAAGATGAACGTGCATCCTAAAAAATACTTCTAATATTTTTTGTTTTGGATTTATTGCATTCACAAAACTGTTTAAGTGCGTTGTAATTATATTTTTAAACACTTCGTGCCCAATTATTTCAGTCAAAGGAGCAAATGGCAGTGGCCAAGTTCAAAAGAACAATGCGTACCCTAGCTCTTCAGTTCAGAATATCCACGCTCAGTTCTGGAACCCAGAGGCAGCTTTATAAGATAACAAATATAGGAGTACTGGCCGAACCAGATATTAAAAAAGTTAAAAAGGTAAGACATATTTTAATTGATTGCTTGATTGTCTGTGTGATTGATTGAGCCGAAGAGGCATTAAGGCTCTTGACCATTGGTGGTTGGAATCCTCACAGTGGAGATTTGAGCACATTTACCTGTCCTCTAGGTCGATTCAGCCGTAAATGAATTGATCATCGCCAACAACTGGCCCGATGTTGTCCACTTCACACATCAGGCTGCCGATTGACCTATATAAATATGATTCTAGCATAATACGCGTGATGCTCTATTAGCGCCAACGAGATATTTTACTCTGACTACTTCATGACCAGCTGGAACACGTCATCAATCTACGGCTCAGGACAGGGTTGACAAGCTGTGTGTGTGTGTGGGTGTGTGTGTTTGTGTGTGTGCATATGTGTGTGTGTCTGTAAGTGTGTGTTTATGTGTGTGTGTTTGTGTGTGTTTGTGTGTATGTGCTTTTTGTGTGTATATATATGTGTGTGTGTGTGTGTTTGTGTTTGTGTGTGTTCTCTTTGGACAATAGAATTTTAAGAGCAGATGTTCCTAGCCTCACAATAAATGACAGAAACATACATTAAAAAAAGAAAAGCAGTCGAAGATTCGCATTGTCGGTAATAGCCTGTCCCGCAGGGATCATGTGGAAACAGTTGCGATGAAATGGAGAAAAAAAAATAAGTTAAAAAAAAAGGCTTTAATGCTCACAAGATTGTGGCATCAATAGACAATGTTTCAGCATATGATCTTGTCGACGAAAGATTATGAACTTGGAATGCTTACCATATCCAAGAGAGAGAGTCCGCTGAATAATCTTGAAAGCATACAGAATTAAGCAATTGCGGATAATTCTGGGATGTAAAAAAGATACCCCGATATATAATTACAATGCCTATTGTTGCAGATTGGCTCAAAGTTCTGCAAGTAGTCATATCTCAGATTAGCTGCAGACAAGAAGCACCTCCTTATAAAGCCCTGGGTAGAGCTAAGGGTCGAAGACTGCAAGGAGGAAGGTCTTGGATGGCGTAAACTTAAAACACAATTTTACATGTGTGCAGACTTGATTAATTTGAAGGAGAAAAAAAATTGGGTCAGAGGGCCCAGCAAGAATCCGATTTGTGTAGGGGTGCTAATCACTCTGGGACGTGAGTGCAAAGATTGGCCAGCTGGTGCTGCAGAATCAGAAGTTCAACAAATGATTCATGACAATTACCGCCTGAGTGATGTGATCATCTATACAGATGGTTCTGGGTTGAGAGGTAGACGACTGCTTGGGGGTCCAAAACAAAAGCGAATGGGCGTTCTTGGTGCAGCAAAGCCAGGCATATGATATAACAATGTCTAGTTTGAGTATGGAGTTGGCTTGAGAATCAGCTGCACATGCGTGACGTAATTGTAACTGACTCGCAGAAAATTCTGAGGAATGTGGAGACAGGCATGTCCGTGAAGAGAGTTACCGGTTATTTTTTTTTTTTTTTTTTTTTTTACGTATCCAGAAACCATGAGTTGTAAACCCTTTGGCTCGGTACTATGGATATCGCAACCCTTCAGCATTGATTCCATTATAGGTACCGTTAATCTGGGAGAAATATGGCTTTTCTGCCTACCCCCGGGAGTGAACCCGGACCACAAGGAGTTCGTCACCCGGCCGCCGCGAAAGTCAGGTTTAACCAACTTCGCTAGAGAGCCGGGCACCGGTTAGTTAGCATCCTTTGGATATTTGCTCATCTAACATTCAAAGCAAGTCCACAGGAATCGTCTAAGAAGTTCACTGTTATGTTTATCTGGGCCGTGTGAAATTAAAAACAAACAGATCTAGAGAAAATTTCAAGCAAAGCTGTCATGTATACAGTCGACTGGATGCGGAATACTTGCCCGATGATTTCACACTATACTCGAAGCTGTTTCGAACTGAAGATGAATTACAAAAAGAAAGGAAAAAAAAAAACAGGGGGAAAAAAGCGTGTAATCTTGTTCGTAGTAATATTATTTTTAGTTTTAGAATTAGTAGCAATAGCAACAGTAGTAGTAGCAGCAGTCTTGCCACTTTTCTTTGACAAAAAAACATCCAAAACGGAGACAAAAAATATCTTTAAAAATCTAAATTTGCGTGGAAAACATCTAGAAAATACATCAGAATGGAAAAATTCACAAATTGCATAGCAATTGATATGACTTACTCTATAGAATCATGTCCTCATCTTTACTGAAGTCTGCCTTACAAGATCCACAGGATAAACTTAGCTTGGATGATGAAGTTGAAGCTTCAGATTCAAAATGACTCTGGTATGCTGTAGCTGTTCCAGTTTCTTTTAACACTCAGTCAAGGAGCTGATAAGTGGAACAAACTTTTCCTACTCTTATCAGGCCGAATTTTATTGTTAAGATAGCATTTAGGAGGTCAAATTTCTTTTAACACTCAGTCAAGGAGCTGATAAGTGGAACAAACTTTTCCTACTCTTATCAGGCCGAATTTTATTGTTAAGATAGCATTTAGGAGGGCAAATTGCATACTGTTTCTTAGGTTAGATTTGATAAATTCACTCAAAATGAAAAACATCTCCAAAGACATATACCATCTAAACGTCAAAAACGCCATCTAAATGCAAGAAAAAACATCTAAATTTGGATGTAAAACATCCAAAGTGGCAACACTGAGTAGCAGCAGCAGAAGCAGCAGCTGTCACTAATGCTGGTGATAGTTGTAGCAGCAGCCAGATATGGGAATCATAAACTATCCTGTACAGTAACGCTGCGTACATCACTCAGTGTACAGCGGTGTCTCAACCATTGCACTAAATCAATCCCTTCCAACGTGGTCATGGTTATAAAGCTGCAATAGGTTAATTATTTTAGTGCTAGAAAGTACCAAGCAGGCCAGTACTTCCCAATTATAGTTGAGACCCGCGAAGCTCGTATTATTTTTCAAGGTCTCCCACGGACCGCATATTTTTAACTCCTAAGAGTTAGGCTACATGCATTCTTGCATACATTCAGGAGCAATGGTTTCCAATCTTTTTTGACTTGCAGAGTACTTTTAAGAATTGTTTTCTACAGCGGAGACTAATATACATACCGTGTTTTATGTTTTTATTTAGTTTAGTTTAGTTTAGTTAGTTAGTTAGTTAGTTGGTTAGTTGGTTAGTTAGTTGGTTAGTTAGTTAGTTAGTTAGTTAGTTAGTTAGTTAGTTAGTTAGTTAGTTAGTTAGTTAGTTAGTTAGTTTGTTAGTTAGTTAGTTAGTTAGTTAGTTAGTTAGTTAGTTAGTTAGTTAGTTAGTTAGTTAGTTAGTTAGTTAGTTAGTTAGTTAGTTAGTTAGTTAGTTAGTTAGTTAGTTTAGTTAGTTAGTTAGTTAGTTAGTTAGTTAGTTAGTTAGTTAGTTAGTTAGTTAGTTAGTTAGTTAGTTAGTTAGTTAGTTAGTTGGATTATCAACATTGCACTCCGGACATGTAAATAGGTGCTCATATCTTTTTCTCAGTACGAACCCCAATTGGGGTAATAGTACCAGTTCTATATTGAGTTGCAATTTCCCTGATGTGCCTGGTAGGCGACTCGTTTTTGTTTGTAGTTGTTGTTGTTGTTGTTGTTGTTGTTGTTGCTATGCCGATCTTAACTCCCAAGGCTATCAATCTGGCGAGTGGTGTGGATTCACTACTTGGGATATTGTCTCCTCAGTGTGCTGACTGGTTGCTAAGGGCATGTTCATACGAAAGACATGGATGACATTCTGAATGCACACAGTTTGTAACGAGCAGGCAATATCCAGTTATTATTTTTTTTTTATTGCAGTTTCACACGTGATCAGGTCCAGTCAATGTCTACTAATAACTAGCACGTACAGCAAGATAGGATAATTGTCAGAAATCAACTGTACGTCCTCTCTCGTTCACACTCGTTACCTTTCAGTCCTATTTCCTGCCACACTGAATACACACAATGGTTGATCCAGAAGTTCTGATCATGGCAGTTCGACGTATTGATTTTTTGGAACTTGTTGGCTACCACTTTTTCTCTCTCGTGTTTCTACAAATATTAACATTCTCATTTATTACTCTATTATCTCAATGTTTACTCCCATATCCTCTTCTTCTACTTTCGTTCGCCTGAAATAAGTTGTCAATTTCTGCAATTTTTGTCTCTTGTATAAATTTCACTGTTGTTGTTAATTCATTCAGTGGTCAATAGAGTTACGTTCCACTGTTGTTTTTTCTGGCCAAAAGGTTTGCCCTAATGTGTCAAATTCGGTGCAGTCTGGGAGTACATGCTCTGCTGTCTGGGGCACCTTTCCACGGGTGCACATGCCTGATACGCCTATCTTAAATTTTGTGTCCCATATTATTGCTTAGAGAATTCCCATGGGAAAATATCAACATTACACTACTCTCAAAGTCCTCCACTCTTCCTATTCCTCAGAGGGCATGAATCAATAGGTTGACCGTTGGTGGTGATAGTGGATCCAGCCAACCTATCAGCTCTTTCATTTCCATCGACGCCTGGAACGAAAATAAAAGTGACTCCATAGTGGACTTTTGTAATGATTCAAGCCATTACTTTAGCACTGAACATGCCTGAACCTTCCAGATCATACTCATTGAATCACCAAGTACACAAGCGCAGGTGTAGTTTTATATTTTGAGCCACATGAACGTTATGGTTACTGCCATTATCCCCATCGTCTTGCTGCTGTTGTCATAGAAAAAGCACCGTTGGCTTATTTGACTGTTCTGCCCGCTGAGCGTGCTGTGAACGACCATGCCCTTCTTTTTTGGCGTGTAACGGATCCTCTGTGTAGTTCAAACTCTGCATTAAAAGCAGCAGGATTCTGATCCCTGCATCGCCTGTCGAGTGTGGCAATAGAGGGAAATTGACAAAACACCTGAAGCATGGGTACCACCAGGGATAATGTCGGTTAGGCTGCATGTTTGCTTGATAATATATTCTGCACGTCTTTTAAGGTATACCCTAGCCCTCAGATTCTGATCCTTTAATTTATGGTTTGACTTATGCTAAGCAGGAAGTGTCTCGTGCATATCCTAAAATAATGCACACGGCTTTATCTGGCACACTTTCAAGTTGTTCTGTCTGTTAGCACTTACGGTGAGGATGACCAGAGCAGATTTAATGGGGAGAAAGGACCAGCTCGTAGAACAGAAGTGTTAGTAGTCTTTGCTAGATACTGGAAGCAGCCATAACCCTCCTTGCAGATAGACCTTTGCGTGCTTTTGTTATCACATGGTCAACATGTACTTGGAATGAAAATCTGCGATCAGATCTCACCCCGAGATACGTCATCACGGTGGTCTTGGTCAACATACTATCATCCTTTTTTACTTCTGGTAAGTCCGTCTTGACAATGTGGTTGTTTAAAAGAGAATCATGCCACTGATGCCTTCGAAGGATTGACATAGGCATTGGAACCATCACACCAGGAGCCAGTTCGACCGAGTTCGTTGTGCATTGTGCTAGAGATCTCCTATCTGTCGAGCCATTGTTGATATATCAAAATTTCATCAGCAGATGACAAAGTCCTTTCCTTTCCATTCAGCTGCTGCTCAGTGATCGTCACAGTTTACACAGTAAACAAGATTGGTTACAGCGGTCTACAGCCGCACATGTCTCTTCTTTGGTTTGAAATCATTGGTAACATCGAAGGCAAAGACTCCATCATCTCTTTATTCAACCTGTTGCCTCCAGGTGCTAGTGGGGACTTGTCGAGCAGTTTCAAGTCGTTAGTCAGTCTTCGTGCGACAATTTTCTGCAAACGTGTTTTATGTCTTACTAGTAAAGGATAGTAAGCAGTAATGACTATGACTCCTTCTCTGCCTCTTTCTTCTTCTCTCTTTATCTATCTATCTCTATCTCTACCTCTCTGTCAACTAGTATATGGATAGGACACTCAATGAGAAACCTGAATAGCAACACAATAGCAATATAACTAGGAGATCCTCACACTAAAGCCGCAGGACGTTAAATAGACGTATATAAGAATGAGGGTGTGGTGCAAAAGATGGACACGGTAAGGTGAGTCAAACGTGAATGGCGACAGACGGGGCAAGTTCTTTGAATGTCTAAACTCCATTCTAGGATATCAGTAGAAGAAGAAGAAGATATTTATTCTTTAGGAAAAAAAATCATTTTCTAATTAGCGTGTTTTTTTTTTTTTTTTTCTGACTGGGTTGTACTTTCAGCTTTTCAAGATTAAGAACGATATGGAAGCAATGTATTCAAAGGCGAAGTTTTGTTTGAATCCGAAAAAGTGTTTTCCTTTGAGTCCAGGTTTGTACAATTAGGAAATAATTATTAAGTTTAAATTTATTTGTATATCATCAGCCTAAAGAATATGATAAACATATAATATGGGACGAATTCAAGAGAAGAATGAACAAAATAATTAAGAGAAATATCTGGGCAACCGCTAGTATCAAGAGTTAGGAAAGTTCGCCAGATCATGATGGGACAATATGTAAATAGGTGAGAGAAAATGAGAACGTCCAAAAAAAAAAAAAACTAAGTCGAACATTGCTGAGTGAAACCAAAGGTGATGGACAATATTCTATCCATGATATACAAGTTATTGCACATGCTAGAAGGTAATGAAGAAAAAATATCAGCCTTATGGGACGTGAAATGGCACAACCGGACATTGAATGAATGTATAGCCTTACTGGAGCTCATAAACAATTCCAGTATGTGGTCTCTACAATACTGCCCAGGCTTTGTGCCATGGAGAGGATAAACTTCATTCTTGGTCGTAATTGGTCTCGGAAACAAATGGAGAGGCAGCAATTAGAGATTATAAGTCCTTGTCAATTGTCGTAGACGAGGGCGCCACGGGTTGCCTCTGACGGTGGGAGACATTTTCGAATGTCACTGATCAACTACCGCCCGCCTCTAGCTGGGCAGCTCCCAGCCGATGAAGTGTTCATACTCTATAGCCTTTGCGCTTCAATGGATGATAGAAGCTAGAAACCCAGAATCGCTGGCTGTAAAAACAAATAATGCACCAATCAACAACAACAACAAAAACATAACTTCAAGTTTTGACTCGCTTCTTGGAATGTGAGGACCATGTGTCCATTGATCTGGAACACATTAGTGATATGAGAAAAGCTGTTTTCTCCGAGGCCGAACTCAGTAAACTTGACATAAATATTGTTTACCTACAGGAAGCACGTCTGCCAGAGGATATGTCCATTAGAAAAAACAATTATACATTTTTCTGGAAATGCAGAGGCAAGGAAGAAATCTAAAATATGGAGTGGCTTTTGGAGTAAAGTCCAACTGGAGGAAATGCAGAATATTATCCCTACAACTGTCTACCCCAAGCGTTTTATCATCATTATTACTGCACATGTACCCACTTTAACTGAACAAAGGATGTAAAGGATTAGTTTTCATGAGAAACTTAGTAATGCAGTGAAAGCTATTCCTAAATCTGACGCCATTTACATACTTGGTGATTTTATTGCTATTCTCTTGATATTAGATTACCAGATTGTGCTTTCCTAATGCCATGAAGATGCTACCAACCCCTGACCATCTAGAAACATTTCCAATAATTGTAGAAATTAGGAAAGCTATTGATGAGCTGGCTTGAGGGAAGGCTCCAGGCAGAGATGGAATTCCTACTGAGATGCCCAGGAATGGGAAAGACATTCTAACCCCACATATTCATCAGGTAATAACGATCTGCTGACGTGAGGGACGTCTTCCTCAAGACTACAAAGACTCAAGCATAATAACTATGTACAAGAACAAGGGTGATCGGAGTAACTGCAATCACTACAAGGGAATATCACTGCTGTACTGCTGAAAAAATACTCGCAAGAATTGTTCTGCGAAAAGTCCAGATCCTAGGAGACCGGGTTTACCCAGAGTCACTGTGTGGCTTTCGTGGGAACCGGTCTACCACTAATGGGATATTTTCATTACAACAAATGCAGAAAAAAATGTAAAAATAAAAAAAAAAATAATGAAAAAATAAAAAAAAACCACTGTATATTGCTTTTATTTAAATTAAATATTTTTTTTATTCGGTTAGTTGAAAAGGTCAGTTCAACACGCGGAAGAAGATTAGGTCCCATCTAACCTACTAGGCATTACTGTGAAATTCCACACAGGTATAAAAGGTACAATTAACTTTGATGGTATGACTGACTGACTTTCTACCCCACTAGGACATCACACAAGCGATAAACACCCGATAAAACAAAGTGCCACCATGCGGATGAGGATCACCGTGGAGAGGTCCCAGAAACAATTGGCCATATTGATGGCCTGCCTATATTGCTCCCCCTGGCAAAAGCCAGAGTGGGGCTTTAAATAACAAAAAATTACGTCCTAAAAAGGACGTGTGTAATATGATTAATTTGATGGTATATCATCGGAGAAGTTTTATAAACAACAATGGAATGAACAGGGATGTGTACTTGCTCCTTACCCTCTTTGGAATAAACTTCTCCCTTCTTTTGAAATATGCTTTTCGAGATAAGGAGAATGTTATATTCATCCATTCTTGATCTGACGACCGCCTTCACGAAGCTCGTAGGCTGAAGGCCAAAAATAGGATAAGAAAGGTACTTTTTAGAGAGCTACTATTTGTAAATGATTCAACAATTACTACCCACTAAGACGATGAGCTGAAATGTTTATTGTCTGCATATGCTGATGCATCCTGTGAATCTGGACTTGCTATCAAAAACAACAAAAGACAAAGGTCACAGTGCGAGGTGTTAATGATAGACCTGCAGTCTACAGTGACGGCGAAGAGCTAGAGACAGTTGACAGTTTCACTTATCTTGGATCCACAGTGAATAACAAACTATCTCTTGACCTAGCAATCAACATCAGGATAGGCTAACCAGCTACAGCAAAGAGCAGATTAACAAAACAAAAAAACAAAAAAAAAAAAAAAATTGAGAGAAGAGAAAGCTTACAATGAAAACTCTTGTCCGTCAAGCTTTTGTTCTCATCAGTCAGCGATTTATGACAGTGAGACTTGGCCTACTTTTTGGCACCAGGAGAAATCGCATCCCATGCGATGCCTAAGAAGAATACATGACTTCCGGTTCTGAAATTGCTAGGGAATGGATGACGGTTGAAAACCTGGCTAATGTTGACCGTTCTCGACGCCGTTTCTCCTCCAATTTTCATGTTGCAAGATTGTGGAAGTCCGGTTTGCGGCCCAAGCTACTGAGTTGATTGCTCCTGTCGACACTTTAAAATGTGATTTTCAGTTATTGAGTTCCAGATTCGTACATAATGGCAATAATGGGTGATGTATTTTTGTTCGTTGTGTTCCTGGGACAATGCGTGTGCTATAGCTGCTATTTTTTTTTTATTTTTTTTTTTGTTTTGCTGGTCGTGGCTGCAATTTGGTCTAGGACATGTGGAAATAGTCAGGAATAGTTTTAATCTACTCATCACCCAGCTATTCGTCGAATGAAGATGATTTTCAGTGGTGACGCCTGGTCTCGCAGTGTGTTTAAGGAGGTATGCAACTCATGGTTTGCCAGATCAAATCGTGTGTGTTTTGCTGACTGAGGACACTTTGCATGGCTAGGCATTCACTTGAAGTATCCAGCGTATCTGACTCCGTTTGTGACTGGAAGTACTTGCATAAGCGGTTCAGCAATTAGGGGCAAAGCTCGTTTGCTGTGATGCTGGAACCATAGCGACTAACTAACTAACTTGGCAGTGGCAGGACAAGATCACAAACACTGAGGTATTGGCAAGAGCAGATACTACAATAGTCTTCTCAATGCTCAGTCTACGAAGGCTCATTTGGCTGTGTCACTCCTAGAGAATGAAGAATGGCAGAGTTCCTAAGGACATCCTCTATGGTGAATTAAGGACGCGTATTTAGGTATTTAGGTACACTCTTAAGAACAAAATGCCATGGACCGTGTTGTGTGGAAGGGGCACATCAGGAAGGGATTGAGTGTGAAGGAAGTAATGACTTCAGAAAGGATTAGAACTGAGCGTCTGAGGGGGAAAAAAACCCAGAGTTAACAAAATTGTTGACAACAGCGATCCTGAAATCCTATGTTGTAATTCTGCAAGCCTTTTCTTACGCGGGCGGATCTTGCTACTCACGCTTGCCATCGCCATGGGCTTGAATCCCGCGTCTCGTCATAACGCTGTATAACACTCTCTTCTGGAAAGACAGACAGGTGCCATTTATGTGGTGAGACTTTTGATGTGTGTATGTGTTTTTTGTCTTTTTGGGGGGGGGGCAGGGTATGTTAAGTAGTTTGCCATTGCTCGCTCAAGTGTCGACGCTCATACCGTTGTTAGAATCAACACAAAGCGGTCTATAATTCATTAATAGGGTATGTGAGAAGCATTTCCACTTCTTGAAGCGTGGTATGCTCGTAAGCTAGAACCAATAAATCTTGAGATGTGCTACATGTTTCCTATGCCCAAGAAGAAGTCTGTCAAACTTGCGGTCCGTGGGCTGGATAAAGCCCACTGCATGCACAGTCCGCACAAAGGATACAACAGCTGGCTGAAATTTCGTCTTGGTCTTTTAACAGGATATTGTTTTTTATTATGTAATTGTTTTATTTTTCACACTGCACACACTCGTTTGAATGGCTAGTGCTCCAACAGCTAAAATAAAATAGGAAGTGAACAAAGAAAGGCGAGTGCCTCAAGAAAACAATGGGAATGCAGTATTGTTTTTTACTTTTTTTTTTTTTTTTAATTATTTTTTTTTTTTTTTTTTTTTTTTTTTTTTTTATTTTTTTTAATTATTTTTTTTTTTTTTTTTAAATGGTGAATGGAAAGATATATGAGTTTAATTTGCAACAACAACATTACTATGTCAGAAAAGCACAACTTGAAAAGACATGAAACGAGCCACTGATCTTACGAGATAGTACCACTAGTACGTTAACTCTGCGCTGGCTGCTGATGAAGGGGACAGAGCGAATATGGGAATGCTCTGAGTGCTGTGATGTCTTTCTTGACTCAGCTCACATTAGCTCAGTTGAACATAAATGACAACAAAGAAATTTACCTCACCTATCAAAATAATATTCAGACACGCCTTTAACCCCCCCCCCCTTTCCCCACCCCCACCCCGCCCCTTCCCCCTCCCTAAAAAATAGAACCAGAAATTCATATTTTTACTGTAAAATCTAAACGTTCACTCAAATTATTTAAAATGCCTTGAAAAGATCAAAGGAATTAGCTGGTTTTCGGCATCTTAAGCATCTACGGACTCAAGAATTCCATTATGTTTGCGTCATGGATATTCTAAGGCTCCATATAAAAATATTGCTGTGATCTAACAGGCAGTTTACGAGAATATGGCTTGCAAGTGATTTCATTAAACGTTGAACAAACTTTAATTATGAAGTCACAATTCGTGTTTCAATTCTCAAAGAATGGAAGGATAATTTGGGACTGCAACATACCTGTTTTAAGAAACTGAAAAATGGTAATGTTGATTCTGTTCCTGCAAGCTGTGAACTTAGTCGAATGATCGCCAAAAGTTAGAAATCTTACAGTTAAGGAGATTTCGTAAAGCGATGCTTTGTAAAAGCTGCTCAAATTGTGTGTCCAAGGCAACCACACATATTACATTATTAGTTGAATAAACTGTAACATTGTTCCTGAACGGACTGATGAAAAGAGTTATTGAAAGACCGACTGAAGGACCACGTGACCAAGATTTAAACATGTTTTACTGCTATCAATGAGACCGTTGAGATCACATTGTTTCAACTACTTCATAACTTTGCATCATGAATGTGGTTAGCTCCTAGGCAATTTGTATGCACATTTGATTTTTCTAATCAAAATATTCTGCAACAATTTGTGTGAAGTGACTTCTATTTGTTGTTGCGTGTGGACCCATGGCGACGCAAATTTGACTCATGCGGCTCTAGGGAAACTCGCATGCCTGCAAGGAGCAAAGTGGTCCACTAACCATTTATTTTAACAAATTAATTTAAGTAATAACTTTTTTGTTTACATTTCATATTACTGAAATTATATTACTAAGCTGATTTCCCATTCAGTTATAACAAAAAAAACATGACTTTTAATTAGTATTATGATTAGTTTTATTGTATTACTTATATGCACTTATAATGAGACTTATGCTCATTGACAACACCGGCGGCTAGACATTTGTTTTGTGTAGGTCGATGACCCTGGCAGTGCGTATATGGTGTCAGTTCTGTATATGTATAGACCAATCCGTACTCAGTTGAAAACATAATCAATATCTAACAAGATGATATACATCCCACGAAATTTCGTAGTATTCTCTTTAGATTTGGTTACATAAAAGGGGAGGGGGAGTGGGGAGGGGGAAGTTGGGGGAGGGGGATTCCTGTTTAGGGATTGTTTCAAATTCGTGACTATCGTGCTGGTAGAGAAGGCATGGAGACAGTAACCTCACCCTCCCCCTGCCCACATCCCACCCACCGCCAAAAATTAAAAGAGTGAAAACAAAAAACAGAGGGGGAAAAAATTAAGAGAAAGAAAGGGAATAAGAATATGAAGATGGTGATGAGCAATCTAATGATAACGACGATGATGTGATGATAATGACAACGATTGTGATGATGATGACGACCATATGGTTTAATGAACAATTTTAAATATTTGACACAAACGTAGAATACTGTGTAATATTAGTCAATCCATTCTGGCACACATTAGCACAACGTCTACTGTCATATCGCTATCTAATGTTGCAGACGGAATAGAAGTACTGGAACTAAACAATCTACGTTTAAATTTCTGGAATAACTGGCGAAACATAACCGGACGAAAAATGAAGAACAATTTCAAGAAATATGTGAAACTCAGCAATGCCGCCGTGAAAGTTTTAGGTGAGTTACATAATCATTCTAATAATGTCGGCATTCTAGTTTGTAAATGTTTAGGTTACCGTAACAATATGTCAGATTAGGCAATGTGGATGGTTAACTTTTAGGTAGGCAACACTCAGAATGTTTAGATGAGCTAGAGGGTTACCTCTTTAATTAGCTAGTAAGTAAGTAAGTTAAATTGTTAACTAGCTCGATATTCATTTAGCTACATCCCCCTACCCCCCCCCCCCCCCCCTAAAAAAAAAAATATACGATACACGATTGTTTTTTTAATAAAAAGATTCTGCAGCAAAGTAGACGGAGACAATGAAGATAGTTTTATGTTCTTTATCTATAAATGTTTGTTCTATCATATTCATTACAGTTTTTATTGTAGATTTGCAAACTGCTTTTATAACCATACATAAACTGTCCTTGGTTTTAAATATATTTTAAAAGTATAGTATATTTTTTTTAAATTCATAATTAAACTTAAAATATTTACTATAACAGATTACCACAAATACAAATGCACTCAATTTCAAAAATACTTGACGATCTCCTTTACATCTCTATGCTCCCCATAAGGGCGCCCCCCCCCCTCCCCACCCCCTTCCTCAGCAGTGGCGATCACTGTCCTACGGTGTAGCGACCGGCGACACTAATTCTGTGCTAATTTATTTTGTTTCTTCGGCTTCTTGCATATTTCTCGTGTCTAGCCTCATAACTTTTCACTTGCAGTTCTTGTAGCCCAAACATATTTGACGACGCAAACTGATGGGGCAAACTTCCAATTTCTCGTAGAGCATTCTGTGTGTTTGCCTGGCCCATAGCATTTCCGCGCTCTACAGTAACCCTGCACAAAGTCCTCTGACCCTGTATATTTCCATTTAGATCGGTTAATGCGATGGCCGAGTTATCTTGAAAAATACAGGTGATGGTAAATACCTCCTTTCATTTGTTCTCTTGCATCTGGAGCTTTGGATTTATACATTGAGGAAACTCTTTTTGCGATTAATAAATTTAAGTTCAAACCCCTCAGTCTAATCTCTCACATCAAGAGATTCAGGCACTCATACGATTGAAACTCGTGATGATATTGTTATTAATCCTGCGGATAAGGCAGAGGCGGTAGTAGTCTGGAGAAAAGATTTGTATGTGCAGGAGGGGAACAGGCAACTCAGAGACCCCTCGTTCTGTGTGCCCCAGTCACAGGAAGCACAGCAACAACAACAACATAGTAAAAAGTACTATCACTACCTTGATCAAGGACGATCTTCTACCTGCTCGGGCCAGCTCTTTTTTTGTCGAGGACAGCTGTCTGGGAAAGCCCGGCCTCTTTACGCTTCCTTAAATACAAAAACTTGACAACCCAGGCAGACCGATCGTGCCCGTCTGCGCTTGTCCCAGATAACTCATATACGGGTTTCTTGACCGTATCTTGCAGCCCCTAGTCGCTGGTCTTCCGTCCGAGATCATGGATACTGTCAGGGACCTAATCTACTCTACTTATTTTATATGGCTCGCTAGGAAGGCCAGCTGACAGACTCTACTACCCAAACACACTTAAGACGACACTCCTGCTGAGTACAACCATTATCTTTAATGTACAATGAACATTAAACGTACAACACTTCAACTGGGCTAAGCATCATGCCTTGACCGCTTTACACTCACTAATCACCCCAGGCCAGCCCCATGGATCTAGGGGGGCACGACTCTTAGCTAGCAGTGTCTCAGTCTCAATCCGCCGTCTATTGCCAAACGGGACTTCAGTCTTTTATCGCCATTACAAGGCGCGTCACCTATGATTAACTCCATCGGATCACCGCCTTAACTCTTACCTTAGATGTTGCCTACCTCTATTCCACACTCTGATGGGCTGCAGACTTTGCGGTTCTTTCTGGATCGTAAGAGTCAGCCCTGCTATAGCCATTGACCCTTCGATGCGTCTGGCTGAGTTAGTTAGTCGCGTATCATTTTCAGGACGTTGTAAAACCAACCACAACAGCCCCTATCTATTCTGTGGTTTTTCTAGGCAAATTTACGTCCAGTAGTTTGCCATCGCTTTTTGGACGGTCGGCTTTCTTGATACCACTGTCGAAACCAACGCAAGGCGCATGGCCCGCAGCTGGGATAGAACCCAGCATCCCGGCATTACGAAGCGTTCGCATCGACTTAGCCACAGAGCCGACAGCTGAGTTAGTACTCACTCTAAATTCTTTCGAGTTTAATGGCCACTACTTCAACCAGATCAACGGCGACCTTATGGACATCAAGATGAGGCCAAGTTATGCCTGCCTCTTTATAAGCCACATCGAGGATCAAATAAGTCATGCTTTACCGGTAGGTAAGAACTCTACAAGAGGTATATCGATGATTGCATCTGTGTCACTGATATGTCCCTACCTGAATAGCAAGACTTAATTTTTTTTTTTCCCAACTTTCATCCCAGCATCTGTTGCACTTTAAACAATTCACTTTCGTCGGTGCATTTTCTGGATCCCACTGTCACCGTGGACTTTAAAGGCCTTAGCACCTCGGTGTACAATAAGCCTAATGATTCCCGGCTCTCCTTCTTTACGCGTTCTCTGATCCCTCTTCCTGCAAGGATTCTATTTCTTTCTCTATGCTTCTACGCCTCTGCAGACTATGCCAGGAGAACAACGACTCTTACCACAAGTCACTAGAAATGTTAAACTTCTTCCGGCTCCAATGGGTATTCGGAACATGTCTTAACTGCTGCCTTTTACAGAGCACGGTCTATCCATCGTTCTGAGGCTCTCGTTTCCAAGCCTAAACGTCACCATAACAGACCCATTCTCAAACTTACCTACCACCCTCACAACATCCGTGCTAAAAATATTCTCCTCCAGCATCTCTCCCTTAAGGCTGACCAAACAACCAGCAAGATTTTCTCTGAACTTTCTCTAGTGGCCTACAGGCGCGACCGTAACCTTAAGAACATTATAATTAAGAGTCGGTTACGTCCTGCCTCTGAGTCCCACTTCGCGACGGTCTCTTGCCCCAGACCTGTATGCAGGACCTATCCATGTGTGGTTCAGGGTACCATCCTGGAATTCCCGAATGCCACCTTTCACATACATAAAGCATTCTATTGCACGAGCCGTAAGGTAATTTAACCATCAACTGCAACAGATGTGACATTAAATACATAGGTCAAACGAGTTTACGACTGGCTGACAGGTTCAGATAATATCTTTTGGACGTACTTAACGGTGCCCTGAAACCAGTACCATTGCATTTCAATTCCCAGGACCACTAAGGTGTCCGCGACATGGAGGTGACAGCCCTTAAATCTAGCCACTCCAGCGAAAGAGTTCGCAAGTCTCCTAAAAATTGCTGTATATACACCTTGGGAACTCTGGCACCTAGTGGGATAAACTACCAACACCGCTTCATCTAAATCCTAGGGGGCTCAACTGCCTACACATTTATCTTATCATCGAGTGACGGCCCCTGGCATTTCCCGTGATATTTATTTTCCCGGCTCCACGTGGCTTGCCAGACTATTGGCTAGACATTGATCTACTAAAATAAATAAGTGATATTGTGTATTTGTGTGGTATTGTCTAATTTATGTATGTGCCGAAGAAGGCTCTAAAGCCGCCACGTTAACTTTTGTTTGTGTTTGTTATATTGTGAAGCTCGCTGATATACTTTTTGTTCAGTTTTATATCATTCCCTTGTAAGTCAGGCTGCAACCTGTTATAGTTTTATGTGGAAAACAGTGTAGTAAAGTGTATTACCCTGTAATCACTCAAAAGGGTGACAGTTCAGTAACAAAAACATGCATTATGATCGTCATCATCAACATGATATTGTTGTTGTGCAATTTATACGTAAAATTTGGTATTCTAATCATCCATTCTGTTATCTTCGGAAATCTTTAGGATCATAGATGGAATCTAGACACACATAACAGAACCCTATCTATATATGTATGATATTGTCAATATCATCACCATTGCTTTTATCAGTTCTATTGTATCTAAGGGGCTGCGTGGTAAAGAGGTATGGCTTCGGCCTCGAGTGCTGGAGGTCCCGGGTTGAAACCCCAGTGAAAGCTGTAAGTTTTTCACTTGAACTTCTAGTAATTTCCTCTGGTCTTTGGGTAGTTAGACCAGGCGCCTGTATGTATTGTTGCGCACGTAAAAAATCCGCTGGCAGTTGGAAATCAAAAAGAGTAGCATAACGGCGCTGTCCGGGCAAATTTGGAGTAAAAAATATATTCAAAGTATTTTAAGATCCTCACTAGCGCAACAGAGTTCGTGCACTGCGCTGAGATTCTTCAGACTCAGTCTTGAGTTAGAAATAGAACGGGGCACAGCCATGATGTTGATCCTTCAAGTAAACTAAAATAATTCTATTGTATCTATATCTGAGTTTTCGTTAATTACTTCATTTATTAGTTGTTCATCATCATCATCACCATCATCATAATAACTATCATTATCATCTGTATGTAGATCGTTTTTATATTTCACAACTGCATGTTCTAATAAGTAGATGATACATTTAATTCAGTGTATTTAAGATGGCAACAACTTTCACAATGTTCTCTCTCTCTCTCTCTCTCTCTCTCTCTCTCTCTCTCTCTCTCTCTCTCTCTCTCTCTCTCTCTCTCTCTCTCTCTCTCTCTCGCTGCCCAGGTTGTAAAGATTTGGCAGATCACATGATAATAGCCTACGAGGTCAACAATCTAGTACCCGAAGTGTATCATCTAATGGAAAAGGTGGGCCCTCTGTACAGACAACTGCACGCCTACGTCAGACATGTATTGAAGAAAGAATACGGTGCTAAGCTGTTCCCTTCAACAGGGCAAATCCCTGCACACCTTTTGGGTAGGTCGCTAGACATTAAACGTTAGTCATTATCCTACAATCATTATTCGTTAGTCAGTAGATCCCAATCGTTAGTATTTGTGTTAATTCATAAATGTGTATTCATTAGTTGGTCAATGTCAGTCATTAGTGGTCAGACTTATATCTTTAGTCAATAGATAATAGTCGAGAGAAGTTAGTAGTGACTATATGAACATAGGTGGGTCATTATTTAGATAGTGTCTGAGCCATGTGGTATAAAACCTGGTGCAACGAAGACGATCGTGTCCACTATAATCCATTTTCCAACCTTTGATATCTATGCACAAATAGGTGGTAAGAGTTTAGAAGAAAAGTATGTATAACTATATCTTTTTACTATACTATTTCCGTGCTCCAGCATTGTCCCTGGCTGTTTATCAGCTTCTCTGTCTTGTATTGGGAGTTTTCAAGTCGTTTATATGGTATTTAGTACTTCGTTGTTTAAGACTTTGAACTAAACGTTCCGTTGTATTTGTGCACCTCTTTTCCCTTTATACAGGTGAGCTTTCTAATAATACTATTGATACTTGCTATCCACATCGCAATTATATCTGACTTGGAAAGCATGCCGAGGAAGATAGGGACGGGCATGCTTCGTGCATAGTTGCAAACTTGGCCGCTTCGGAGGTCAGGGGTAAAGAGGATTGTCTGGATCTTTTCTCTGGTTATATGGGTGTGTTAGGAAATGAATAAGCCGATAGACTGGCCGGTTCTGCACAACTTAGTTGAATACTGATGCATCATGAGGCAAACGTGGTCAAGGCGTTATGGAAGCAAGGGTACAATTTGGAACAGGAAACTGATCACCACAGTCTGGTGAGAGTGATGCAGTGGGAGTCATGAGGAGATCTGGCCAATACTCAGCGTTTAGAGGAAAGGCAAGCGGGACATATAATCAAACTTCTACTGGCACCACTCGTATTGAAACTCTGAGTTGGTTGCTGGAGATGAGGAACAGAGCACTTGTGGTATTGCCCCGAGCGTTGTGACGTCACCTCAATTCAATAACCCTAGTTAACAAAAAAATGTGTCAGAAATGAGAACAAAAAAGTGAAGGTCTCTTTTCCACGTCCTTGACGTATTGAGAATATGGGGCTAGACCTGTATTTGTTTAGACCAATCGGCTCTTCGTGGATGATTTAGTCAGCATCACGCCGGTTGCCTTTACTTCCCATTACAGCATCTTGTACCAATTCAAGACTGGGTCCACCTTGAAGTCAAGGTCACTTTAAAAGGATAAAACATCCGGCTCTGTCATTACGCGAACCCACAACCTTCCGATCCTCAGGCGGGCATCTAGCCGCCAACACCACAACGACTTACCCCAGAAATGAGAATAGCTGATTTTAATTAATTTTGGTATACTAAAACAGAAAGCGACATTGAAAATGTTAATTATGTCTATTTTGCAAGATATATGCTGTTAGTTTTTTTTTTTTTTTATTACGTGCATTTGGTATACACATGAAGCAAGTGTTTTGGCCGATTGCGAATTTTTTTTTTTTTTTTTTTTTTGAGGTGTAAGAATGTAGGCTATCCTCCGAAAGGCGTTTCTAAATTATCGAGGCTAAGAAAATACCCCAACAGACCCCCCCCCCCTCTCCCCCAGTGGTGTGTAAAATTGGGATTCCTGTCCGGCGGATACACCAGGGGCGGGCGGCGAATCGCGCGACTAGCCCCGTCTTCATAACACTGCACCCCTTTGAGTTGCATGCTTAACCCTTCAATCGTTAGTGTCGCGACTGGATTTTTTGTGTGTGTGGACATTTTGACCATAACGGTAAGCCTGAACCTTACACCTAGAGGAGAAGTGAAACCTACGACCTAGGTGGGGAGAGTTAAACCTACGACCCAGAGAAGTGAAACCTAGGACCCAGAGGGGAAGTTAAAACTTACTACCCAGAGGAGAAGTGAAACCTAGTCCCAGATAAGAAGTTAAACCTAGGATCCAGGAGAGAAGTAGAACCTAGGACCCAGGGGAGTAGCTAAACCTAGGACCCTAAGGAGAAGTTTAACATAGGACTGAGGAGAGAAGTTTAACTCAGGACCCAGGGCAGTAGTTAAACCTAGGACCCAGAGGAGAAGTTCAACCTAGGACCCAGAGGAGAAGTTCAACCTAGTACCCAGAGGAGAAGTTCAACCTAGTACTCAGAGGAGAAGTTCAACCTAGTACCCAGAGGAGAAGTTTAACCTAGGATCCATTGGAGAAGCTGCTGGTCTGCCTGCCATGGTTGTTAATTCCGTGATTCCGTAATTTTGCGTTTTGCGAAAATAACGCCGGAAATGAATCCTACTTTTGTTGCGGTGTACTCGGCGGAAAGGAGTCCGCACTTTAATATGACTGAGACCCTGTTTAGGGTATTTTCTTAGCTAACCTACCTATGATTGCATCACGTTTAAGCACAAACATCTGATCTCTGACAAAATGTTGCCATTGATTAATGCTTTTGTCCTTGTCAAATAAATAAAGAATACTATGTCCTTAAACAACTGCTGAAGTCAAATTGTCTGTCTCACAACACCAAGATCAAAATATATGAAACGACGATAAGAGCAGTTGTTTTTTTATGGCTCTGAAACTTGGAGCACAACTAAAAGAGATGAAGTTCTAATACAGGTTTTCTAAAACAGTCTTACGACAAATCTTTGGACCCATCAAAGATGAAAACAGCGGTGAATGGAGAGTTAGAAGCAACAACTAAATTTATAACCCGTTTAAGTCACTACTGGTCACTGGCATCGTGAGAGCTAATAGACTGAAATGGCTGACCGATATTGAAAGAATGTCAGATGACAGAGAAGTAAACACTGTATACACCAGGGAGATGAATGGTCGTAGACCACGAGGGAGACCAAGAAGACAAGGAGAGATCATATCCAGACCTGCAAACACTTGGTGTTACCAACTGGAAAGAGAAGGCCAGCAAGAGAGTTGGATAGGGGCGGGTGATATCTGCAGCAATGAAACTCAAGGGCTCGGAATGCTGAGGAAGAAGAAGAAGAAGAATTTGTCCTTATCAAAAGGCTCGTAGTTAGAAATGCCTGGGACAGGCGGTTTCAACTAACTTTACTCAGAGGCCAAGTTGTTTTAAAATGGAGATCGTCGAAGGCCATACATCTGAGTCCGACAGTAGAAAGTTCATTATTATATTAATTATGGCTGTACCGAATAGTTATTTTCACTATTCGGCCGAATACGAATAGTGGGACCAACTATTCGGTCGAATACGAATACGAATAGTGTCTCATCACGATCAAGTGCCTTGCCGACTGGTGTTGGCTATTTTGTCTCGCCACAATCTGCGATCTCCTGCAGCATGTATCAGTTCGTGTGCTGACACACCTCCATGAAATGTAACAAGACTGTCAAGAATCTTCTCTCGTTGTCTTTTTCCATCTCTCCTTCCACAAATCTTTCCAGTGGTCAACACATGTTCTATTTTCACTCTTCTTATAAAATGGCCGAAAAATGATGACTGTCTCCTTCTGATGTCTATGATTAGTTGTCTTCAGGCTCCCGCCTCTTTCAAAACCTAGTGGTTGCTTTTTTAGGCTGTCCAAGGTATTTTAAGCATTGTTCTGTAAAACCACATCGCCGAGGCCTCAAACAATTGTTTGGCCTGGCTACCGATTGTCCAGGACTCATAGCCATATGTTAAAACTGGATGTATGTAGCAAGCAAGACAAAGATCTACTGCATAAGATGTTGTTGTTTTTTTTAAATATAAAATGCAGTTTTTGCCTGTCCTTTTTTTTGTTTTTGATTTTAGTAATGCATCTTTCATCTGATTTTATCCATGTGTCAAATTCGCATTTAAATCATCGTTCGTTCAGGCGTTCGTTCGATGTAATTTAAATGCACCTTTATATTCTCGTTCGCAATATCTTCAATTTGATTTGGGCAAAGACACCCCGAAAGAACAAAAAATGCATGCTCTCTCTCTTTCACTCTCTCTCTCTCTCTTACACACACAGATGCACACGCACAAAGGCAACAAAAAAGAAAGTGTTGCCTTTAAAGATATGTGCTTACTTGACGAGGCTAACAGTTAATATTGTTCAGACCACATTTTCACTTCAAAATTTGAGCAAAAATGTAGTCAAAACCTTCCTTATCTGCTGCACCTTAACGAATAAAGATGGAGGATTGGTCGCATGTCGAGATAAATACAAAGACAATTTTTAGCAAGCTGCGGTTGGCATTTTTTGCAGTATGATACACTTTGAGTGTGAAACGAGAAGAGAAAAAAAAAAAAACTTTTTCGACAGTGGCGAGGAAAGACAATTTGAATTTTAACTTTCAAGTTTCTTCATGACTTCTTTAACACAACAGTAGCGTTGCCTTAATCTGTCGTAGCGGGAAAAACTGCGACCCGGTTGCGTGGTAACAGCCCCTGCTGACTCCTCCAAGGCATTACAGCAGAGGTTCTAAAACTGGGTGCGTATGCCAGGGGAGCCGCGGCGAAAATCAAGAAAAGTCGGCTATAAATTGTGACATAGTTAATGAGAGAGTTATTTCAGTCCATCACAGTGTTTGCAGAAATCACTATTCGTATTCGGCCCGACCGCCACTATTCGGCCGAATACCGAATAGCTATTAGGTCCACTATTCGGCCCCGAAGCGAATATGAAGCGAATATTCGGTACAGCCCTGACATTAATACCGTACAACTGGCAACTATCGGCAGGCCACTTGCGAGGTGTCTGTGTGTCGAATTTAGCCGCTGGGCCGACAATTGAATAGCCTGCCTGTTATATATGTGGTCAGGTGACATTTCACATACACACACACACACATGCAAACCGATTGACTACATGAAGCAAACCAAGATAATTCTAACAGCGACTGAAAAATAACAGAACAAGTTCAAATTAGTTATTTAAAACATGATATGTAAAGTATGTAACAACAATGTTTATAACGCTTGCATACCCCGGAGAATTCAACAAGCATACATTATCAGTATTCATGCAGTGTAAATTCAACATTTACAACAACAACAACAAAAATTTAAAACAAAAAGCCAGAGCCAAAAGGTGAATTTCATTTCATGTGAAATTAGCATGTAAAATTTAATAAGAAACTGTATTTAAACTTGTGAAAATGTACTGAGTCGTGTAGCGGTTTACAGGATTGTTCATATTTCTTGCATTATGTGTGTGCATGTAGGTGTGTGTGTATGTGTGTGTGTGTGTATTAGCATGACATCAACCACTTCAGCGACGATAACGCACTGGTTAAGTTGTTTGCTGACGACCAGAAGGTCTTGGGTGTAAATCCATACTGACTTTTCAAAACTTGCTCCTAGCTCTCAGGTCACCCCAGCGTTAATTAGGTGTCAGGAAATGTCCTGGTGTGTAAAGGTGACCGTCGGGGTATTCAACACATTACCCATCCAATTTCGGTCCTGTGAAAATATAAGTCTAGCACTACCTGGCCTACGTTCCAGTGGTGTGACAAGAAGCCTATGCTTTACTTATCAATTATTTGAATTCAATTATACATGTTATGGTCGGCTCTGTGGGTAAGTCGATGCGAACGCTTCGTAATGCCGGTATGCCGGGTTCGATCCCAGCTGCGTGCCATGCGCCCTGCGTTGGTTTCGACAGTGGCATCAAGAAAGGCGACCGTCCAGCGAGCAATGATAAACTACTGGACGTAAATTTAGCTAGAAAAACCACACAACAGCCACGTGCTGTTGGGGTTGGATCTGCAACGTCCTGTAAAGTATACGCAACTAACCTATACATGTTATGACAGGTAATATGTGGGCTGATAGATGGGACAGCTTAAATTACCTGGTTCAGCCGTTCAAAAAGAAGACAGAACTTTACTTTCAGCGGGAACTCACTCGGCAGGTAAAACAATATTCACTAAATTGTCTTCCACTTTTGCGTAGCAATTCGCCCTTTCAATGGCGGTTGGGACGGTTCTGTTGCGGTTGACATCACAGCTGTGCTGTCAGTGAATTTTGGTCTGAGACATTCGATTTCACCAAACCCTTAATTAGTCTTTTACCTCTATGCCCTACGGAGCTTTGTACAATGACCAGTAAAAATGAAGGCTATCCTCTGAAAAACGTTCCTAAATTATCGAGGCTAAAAAAATACCCTAACAGGGCCTCAGTAGTGTGTAAAATTTGGATCTCTGTCCGGCGAATACACCAGGGGCGGGCGGCGAATCGCGCGTCTAGTTCCGTCTTCTCAACGCTGCGCCCGTTTCAGTTGCATGCTTAACCCTTTAATTGTTATTGTCGCGACTGGACTTTTGGGACATACGTTCCTGGAGGTGTCGTAAATGTAACTAATCTTTGCCCTAACCATAACAGTAAGCCTGAACATTAAACCCAGGAAGGAGTTAAACCTATGACCCAAGGAAGAAGTTTAACCCTTTATTCGGCATTCTACCGATTGCTTTTCTGGTTGTTTGTTTGTTTGTTTTAGTATCCAGAAGCCATGAGTTGTTAACCCTTAGGCTCGGTATTATGGATATCGCAACCTTTCGGCTTTGATTCCATTGTAAATACCGTAAATCTGGGAGAAAATGTGGCTTTCCTGCCTACCCCCGGGATTGAACCCGGACCACAAGGAGTACGTCACCCGGTCTCCGCGAAATCCGGTTTAGCCAATTCCGCTAGAGAGCCGGGCTGCTTTTCTGGTTAAATAGGACGCAGGGACCAATAAATAGAATAATCAAAATACCAACATTATTGTATTCGTCATACGTTACCTACCAGTACAAGTTGTTGTTAGTAAAGCGTAATCATAATGTTTTTACTATAGTGTTCGGCCATATTTATCTTAGCTATGAAGTTTGTCACACAACTTGTAAGTGTTCTCGTCATATGTTATCTTTACATTGAAGGTTGTTACGTAAAACAGTTTGTTTTACGTAGAACAGCAACCATAACATCCTGTCCTAGTTATCCTCACGCGAAATCATTATAATAAGAAGAACTCGACAGGGAAGCTTGTACAACAGGAGTTCGCCGTTCACTAGTAGAAGCTCCCTCGTCGACAATTGTTTCGGCCCATTAACTGCTAGACAATTTCAGAGGGTGGGCCGACCTGGGATCATGACCCCCAGGCCTCGATCTTCTTCTGCTGTACTTTACCAGATGTTCTCGGACGGACAAGATGAAATAGAGACTATTCAAACGGGTACTGTGAGATTCGAGGTTAATATATATAAGTGACAAGCTTACGGTTGGTTCATCGGACATGTTAGACTTTGGAAACTGCCAGAGGGACACTGGCAGACATCATTCGGACACTTCGGCTTTTAAGGGATAATAAGCACCGTTTCTCCAGGAGCTGTGATCAGGCTAACGAGGCCCATCCCCCACGACGTTTCGTTGCGACTACAGCCAGCTAGAAGCTCTTTCAGCTGCTTCGCCCAGTTGTTTAATGACCGTTTACACTTGTTTCCTCGCAAGCCCAGCTGCTTTAGCACATTGTACATGTAAGTGGAGATAAGACTTCTTGCGCCTACATCGACAGCCAAGATTTTCACTGTGTACGCTTCGTCTCTCCTCAGACCGGCCGCGAGCTCGCAGTACTTCTCGGGGTAGTGCATGTGATTTTCGCCCATTCGCAACTTCCACTGCAAGATCAGCTCAGTCAGGATGAGCTTGCGTTTTTCCCCAGAGTGGAGAACTATATCAGAGGTCTCAAATATAGGTACCTCTCGAAACCAGGCAGGTCGACAACCAGTAACCAGTCCCTTGCACAGTCAATTTTTGATGGAGCTTATGCGACCTTGTTGATTTTACCTTTTTCAATCTGCCCAACCTTGAGGAAGCGCATAGGTGTGACAGTAGACCTGGCCCTTTCGTTGTCCCTCATCGTTGCTTGGTCCACAACGTCAGCTAGCTCTTTAATGAATTAGTTGTGGCGCCAAGCATAACGTCCCTGGCCAAGGTCTTTATTGCTCATGCGTCTGCTTAGCTCTGCAAAGTGGGCATGTCGGGTCGGTAGCCGCATGCCATTTTATCATGTTGACGCCAGAAGGTAACACATCGTAGGCAGATCTTACGACAAAACTCAGCCGCAGCAGGGACATTCACCAGATCTCACCTCATGTGAGTACTTGTGGCAAGGCGCTATCGAAGCCGATCCACTGGCCTTGCTACGACTTTTAAAAAAAAGAGTATCATGAAAAACAATAATTATATTATTGTTATCGTCACATCGTACCTTAAAAATGGAGGTTATAGTGTTATCAGTAATAATTCTAATTCTTCTTCTTCTTCTTCTTATTTTTATTATTATTATTATTTTTAATATTATTATTATTATTATTATTCCTTATTCGAGTTAAGATGGCGTCTAGTACGCTGTATGGCGGTTAAAGCAGCCTGCGATATCGTTGCTTGTCGTAACAATTAATCAGGTTTGGGTGGGACATGAGACACACACAAAGAATGTATAATGTAAAAAAGAACACCATAAAGCTTTGTGAGCTGAACAGTCCTGAATGAGGTCATGATATAAAACAAATATGTGGCACCCTAAACATACTTCTTAAGCTGGTGACACAATGATAATTGTTGCTATATTTACACATATAAAGTTTCTTTCAAGAACTACACAGTACGGAAGATGCTTCAAACTGCCGAGGACTTCATCGTTTCTCTCGGTCTAAATAAAATCTTCCCTAGTTTCTGGGAGCTTTCCAGTCTGGACCCACCAAAAGGTGAAGGCAAAGTAATGTGTCTAACGACTTTAATGGATTTTCCCAAAAGAAAAGATCTCAGGTTTGTGAGCTCTCAAATATATACATTGTAAACCTCGTTTTATGTAACGAAACCAAGAAGTCTTGAAGTGATTGTGTTATTAATTCGCTTGGACTTACCCTGACTGTATATACAGTTAAATTTATTATATAGCTGTGTGTTTATTGTGCACTTATTCTTGAAATAAGAAGGTAATGGTATGGTCTATCTTCGATAGACATTATTTATCCAGCCATGTGGTAGTAATTTTAACAAAGAATCAGTGGAGCGAACAGATTGTACTGCTCAAAAGCAATGGCTGCTAATTTACGTGTAACTACAATGACCAAGCGAGGCCTTAAAGCAAACACAGGCAAGGCGACACCCAGAACATCAGACACGCCGCCTAAACAACGGAAAAGTTGCCCGAGCCCCGCTCCCACGACGCCATCTTGCACCGTCATGTTGCCTAAAATGCCACACACTGTTATCACAAGTGAATTTTTAACAGGTAGTTTCTCACAATCACAGAAAATGAGTCCATGTGAACATTTGCCTTCTTTGTCTGACAACCGAGCACATAACATCGCCTGCAGTGAACTAATCCAGTCATTGGAGAACAGGTTGAGGCTTTGTATTTCCGAAAGTTCCCTCAACATTATGTCATCATTTAAAAAAGAAAATGAACTTCTTAGGGAAGAAATTAATCAATTAAAAGATGAGAATGCCTCATTAAAATCAACTATTTGTGCTTTAAAAACTGTCTCCGTTGACAGTCCTACTCAAACAGACATTATCAATGAAATTACCACTATTAACGAAACTGCTTTTGTGTCTGTGAACGAAGAAGATGCAAATTAAAAATCTGTACCTGTTGAGAGAACACCGTCCATCTATCCCATTGGAGTGCAGATAACCAACAGGTTTCAGATACTAAGTGAAAGCACTGACACAATGCATGAGCAAGTTGAACCTTCACCGTCTAGCGTGCCCCAGCAACAGCCTCTTACGGCACACAAGAATCAAGACCAAGATGACAGTCTCAAGTGGCAACAACAGAGCCCCAAACGTGAGCGCGGCCAGTATAGCATAAACGTTGACCCTAGTGCAACACATTTGATTATAGGTGACTCGTTGCTAAAGGGCATTTACAGTGACCGTATGTCACCATCGGAAAATGAGACCGTCTCAGTTCATCCCCTGCCAGGTGCAGGAGTTGATAGATTAACTGCTACACTGCATAGGTTCAGCACCAACTCTAGAATTCAAAAACCACCGTGCACATAGGTATCAATGACATCATGAACGACAAGATCATTAGTACGTCACAATTATCTGCATTATTGGTCATGCTGCGAAACAAATTCCCAGAATCGAAATTTTTTGTGTCTTCTATTATTGTACCATGCTATGGGTTCCAGCGCCGTATGGCAGACGCTGCAAATTTAACATTGCATAAATTCTGTGTGGAACATGATGTCTACTTCATAAACCACACACCATACTTTACCTCATCGTCTGGTGCTCCCAAGAAAAGACTGTACCGGGACCAAATCCACAGCTCTAGGTTAGGAAGCAGTATTTTTGCGAAGAATTTAAAATATCCTCAGCGCACACAGTACCCAGTTACTGGAGCAAACAGAACACCACCCATGCCTGTTGCAATAGCTGCTCATAATCTACAAGATAGTCTCTCCGCTCCAGCGACAAACCTGCCTTTACCCAAAATGCACACTCCGGTGCATCACCACACAAGTGCCATTTCTGATGGTGAATTGTACGATTCTTCATTTCCTCCATTGACATATAAGCAGCCTCCCTCTGCCAAACCCAAGGAAGTATCATCGAACAAGCCTGTTGTGTCCCAGATGCCTGCTGCCAAAGAAAGACTTACGAGAGATGATCATGTTAGTAGACCGTCACCGTATAGTCATGCACAGCCTGTCTATCCCTGGAACCCTGAACTTCAGTACCTCACCCAGTTCAATCCAGCAGCTCTTCATCAAGCATTTATGATGTCGCTCCAACGGAGACACTATCCTGTCCCACCAAGGAGCAGTATTTATTAACTACTTTTTGAAATTGTTTAATATAACTGTATAAATGATGTCTTCACAAAATGTAAAGTTCAATAATCAAAGTCAGTGGCTTAGCAAGGATGGCCTGCGAATAGGGCATCCTAATATTTACCATTTACTCGGCAAACTGCCTGAGCTGTCGGTTAGACTTAACAATCAGTTTCATATCTTTGGAGTCACTGAAAGTTGTCAAAACAACAAAATTAATAATAAGGAAACCACTATCAGGGGATTTAATTTAATTCGCAAAGATGCAGTAAGAAAATTAGAGACAGGCATAGCAGTGTACATTTCAAACTGTATCAAATATTCCCATAGATGTGATCTTGAATCTATAGCTGTAGAGTGTGTCTGGTTAGAAGTCAAGCCGTCAGATCAGCAGTCAATTTTCATTGGGTACTTACATCGAAATCCTTGTGCAGGTATTGATTGGTATGACGACTTCACTTCTATGATGGATGTAGTGTTTAGTTTAGGAAAAGAAATTATACTGCTAGGAGACTTTAACATTGATAGCAATAAACCTAACCAAGCGTGGGGGGATATAATTATATCGTATAACCTTAAACAGCTAATTAACTTCCCCACGAGAGTTACAAAAACATCTTCAACCACCATTGATCATATTTATGTCTCCTGTCCGGGAAATATTATTGAATGCACAGTTCCTGTTTTAGCTGTCAGCGACCATTATCCGGTGTGCTGTACATGGTCAAAATTTGGCTTTAGGTCTCCTAAAGATAAGCACCTCACAATTAAATTTAGAAATTTTAAAACCTTTAATTCACAAATATTTTTAAACGATTTGCGAAACGCACAGCTGGAGCATGTTTATCAGCTTTCTGAACCGGACGATGCTATAGCATATTGGATAAAAACAGTCTACAATGTGTTTGATAAACATGTGCCGGTTAAAGAAGTTAGAGTTAAAAGTCAAATCCATGGATCACTAGTGAAGTTCTGGAAGTTATGAGAGATCGGGACATGGCACATAAAAATAAAAATGTTATAGAGTATCGTAGGTTAAGAAATAAAGTGCAATACATGATCCGTAGGATCAAGAAAGAACATTTTAGCAAGTTGATTATAGACAAATCAAAAGACATATGGAAGGCGATTAACATGCTGACCAACAAGAAACATCATTCAGATCCTGTAAAACCAGATTCTCTTACATGTAATGATTTCAGTAATTTTTTTTTAATCGGAAATAGAAAATTTAAAATATGCCATGCCAGATGCACAGAGTGACTGAAGCCTGTTGGCATCATTTAGTGATGACAAATGCATTAATGCTAGTCCATCTGAAAATTCCTCTCATGACTGTTGCTGAAGTATATAAATACCTCACCAACCTCAAGCAGACAAACTCATCTGGCTTGGATGGTGTCAGCAATCGAATTCTTAGATGTGCTGCACCAGTGATAAGCGAATCCTTAACTTTCATATATAATCAGTGTCTTGCCAAAAACTACTTTCCTTCTGCATTTAAAGTTGCAAAAGTGTATCCTCTATATAAACCTGGCTCAACTGATAAAGCTTCTGTGGGTAATTATAGACCAATTTCTTTACTATCATCACTATCAAAACCATTAGAGAAACACATACATAAAATAACATTTCAACATTTAAATAACAACAATCTAATCATCCATAGTCAGTCAGGGTTCAGGCCTAAATACTCTTGTCATACTGCCTTGACAAAAATGACAGGCAACTGGCATGCTAACATCAACAATGGCAAGATGTGTGGAGCAGTTTTTATTTTTATTTTAAGAAAGCATTTGATATGGTTGATCATGATATTTTAATTAACAAACTAATTACCTTAAAAACTAACAACAATTTAGTAAAATTAATAAAGTCATTCTTGTCTGATCGACGACAAGTAGTTTCCTTTGAGAACTGCCTTTCAGATTCCACACAGCTAAACATAGGCGTTCCTCAGGGTTCAATACTAGGACCATTGCTTTTTGCCACATATATTAATGACCTTCCTTTACATCTTAGCATAACATGTGACCTATTTGCAGATGACTGTACTATATACACTAATCATGAGAACTATGATGAGTTAGGACGTTCATTACAGAATGAACTAGATAAGCTTATTAAATGGAGTAATGCTAATCGCATGCAAATTAACATAACTAAAACTAAATCTATGGTAATAGCAACCAGGCAAAAGTTACAGACATTAGACGTAAACAAGCCTCCGCTTGAGCTCCATGTTGACAAATTACCTATTAATAATGTTAGTGAACATAAAACATTAGGCGTTACAATTGACAGCAATTTAACTTGGTGTTCTCATGTTCATGCCATAACCAAGAAAGTAGCACAAAAAGTCTATCAGTTAGCCAAAATTCAGCACTTTCTGGATCAGAGTACAAGAAAAATATTTTATGTATCCTACATTCAAGCCCATATCGACTATTGTTCCACGGTTTGGGATGGCTGCTCCAAATCCAACTTAAAACGACTGTGTTCTCTACAAAATCGCGCTTTACACCTAGTTTCGGATAGAAAACATACCGATAAAAATCATCTCTATAGCCAGTTAAGAATTCTCCCATTTAAGAAACGATTACTTTTTAATAAAGCCAAATTTATTCATAAAATTTTAGCTCAGAACACTGCAGATTATCTTTTCCAGTTGATTCAACCCAACCCTAATACCAGCAAACGGCTAAATTTATTGCATTTGCCGAAGCCTAGATTAGATCTATATAAAACAAGTTTGTCATATTCTGCTGCTCATTTATGGAATCACCTCCCACTCGATCTGAAAAATATGAGTATGTACTCGTTTAACCGCAGCCTTTTTAAATTCATGCTTACTAGTGATTATAGGCCACCATAGATGAAGTTAATAATTCACATGTATTATCACCTTACTTATATGTATTATATGTGTGTATTATGTGGGTGGGTGTGTGTAATTGTTAGTGTGTATGTATATATGTGGATATATGTCTGTATTTTTAGGTTTGTGAGTATGTGTGTGTGTATTTATGTATGTAGGTTGTAAATATATGGGTGTATGTGTGATTGTATATGAGTGTGATTGTGTGTGTGTCTGTATTATGTATGCATGTATGTATGTATGCAGGCATATATAAGTGAATGTTTGTATGAGGGTGTCTGTTTGTGTGATTAGTTATGTGTGTATGCATGCATATGTGTTTATGTATGTTATGTGTGTGTATGTATGCACGTATGTGTGTTTGTATGCATGTTGGTGGATGTATGTATGTATCTGTGTAAGTATGTGTGTGAATTTATGTGTGTTTGCAAGTATGTATGTATGTTTGTAAGTATGTGAGTGTATGTATGCATGTGTGTATGTATGCATGTGTGTGTGTGCGCGCGCATGTATGTCTATGTAAATGTGTGTTTATGTTTGTATGTCGATGTATGTTTGTATTATGTATGCATGCAGATTTAGCCTATGTATGTACACATGTGTATGTGTGCGTATATGTATGTAGGTGCATGTATGTATTATGTATGTCTTTATGTATGAGAATGTATGAATGTAAATGTGTAAGTATGTGATTGTATCTGTGTGTGTATATTTATGTATAATGTGGGTGTATGCAGGTATATGTAGCTGTGTAGGTATGTGGGTGTTTGTGTATTTATAAAAGCATGCAAGTGTGCATGTGTGTGTGATTGTGTGTGTATGCATGTGGATATATGAAAGTATATTTAGGTATGTATGTATGTGTGTAAAGATGTGAGTTTAGGTATAAATGTGTGGATATATGTATGCATGTGTGTGGGTGTATGTATTCATGTAAGTGTAAATGTGTGGTTTTGGGCATATGTTGGTGTCTGTACATGTAATGGTATATGTGTGTATGCATGGGTGCATGTATAGATGTGTATATATGGAATGCGTGTGTGCATGTATATCCATAAATGTATGTGTGTGTGTTTTCTGTTTGTGCATTTATTTCTGTGTATGTGTATGCTTGTATATGTATGTAGATGCAGTGTGTATGTATCACGTATGTCTGTATATGAGTTCACCTGTATGAAAATGTAGATGTATGTATACGTGTGTGTGAGTGTGTATGATGGCGTACACACGATGTGTGTATGCATTATATATTTCTTTTTAAATCCATAACATGCATTATTGATAACAGGTATTAGTACTCTCGTTCGTTCGTTCGTTCTTCTTCTTCTTCTTCTTCTTCTTCTTCTTCTTCTTCTTCTTCTTCTGCTTTTTCTTCTTCTTCGTGGTCGTCGTTTTGGTCGTCGACGTCATTGTGTTTACCGGCTGTAAACTACTATAGAAAGTCCCGACTGTTCGTCCACTTTTAGACTTCAGTAGTTTTCAGGACAAAAGTATTTCGTACACATTCGTTTTACATAGCTAATTACCAACAATCTGCAACAATGCATACTCAAACTCAAGACCGTCCAGTTGGCAGGCAACCATCTCAGCCACTGTATCACTGCCGCCCAGTTAATGCATGTACTTCAGTTCCAAGCTTGGTCATAACAAGCGCCATGGTGGAGTGGACAGAATAATAGCAGAAGGCATGGTATCAGGAAGGAAGGGCAGGAACCGACCAACATGAACATGGGCGTAGGAAATATTAGTGACTCCTTGAATATGGCAGTGCACGAAAATTTGCCAGAAACCGAGTTTTTTTTCCACTCAGACCTTGCGAGATAAGAGCGACATTCCGCAAGAGGACCTGCTTCGTGGTTAGTTAGTTAGTCTTTCCTCTTGTGTCGAGTGCGGCACATAGGGCAGAGGTCATGACTCTCCATGCATGGCGGTTCGTTGCAATCTGTTGTAGGTTTTGGATGTTTAAGTGGCCCATGAGCAAGCCTTCCCTGGTGATAGTTCTAAGTAGAGTTTCCCTTGGTCTTCCACGAGATCTTTTCCCCTTGGTGTCCAAATGATGGCTTGGTAAGGAAGTCTTGCTCTATCCATTCTAAGGGCGTGGCCGACATAGTTCCAGTGGCGTTTTCGTATAAAATTATACACATACTCTTGCCTGGATTCTTGCCTTATTTGTGTATTGGTTCGGAAATCTGACCATTTGAAATTTAGTATTCTTCTAAGGCATTTATTTTCAAAACTGTCTAATTTTGTGTCTAGAGTTTTCGTTGATTTCCAGCTCTCGCATCCATAGGTTAGTACTGGAATCACACAAGAATTGAAGATCTTGAGTTTTGTGTGTTTGCTAAGTGTCTTTGATTTCCAGATGTTGGACAGTTTATTGAAGGCACTAGATGCCAGTGCTATTCTAAATGGTATTTCTGGTGCGGTATCTCCTGTAGATGACATCTTGCTCCCTAGATAAGTGAAACTGTTGACTTTTTCAAGGCTGTTGTTGTTCAGCGTGATATCAACTGAACTGTTGGTGAGGTCTAGAATTTTTGTTTTTGCGGTGTTAATTTGGGTGATTCATGGTGATTCATATATATATATATATATATATATATATATATATATATATATATATATATATATATATATATATGTGTGTGTGTGTGTGAGTGTGTGTGTATAAACGTACACACATATATAGATCATCATTGTCAGGTGCCTTGCCGACTGACTGGAGTGGGTGAATATATATATATATATATATATATATGTGTGTGTGTGCGTGTGAGTGTGTGTGTAAACGTAAACGCATATATAGATCATCATTATCAGGTGCCTTGCCGACTGACTGGAGTGGGTGATTATATATATATATATATATATATATATATAATATATATATATATATATATATGTGTGTGTGTGTGTGTGTGTGTGTGTGTGTGTGTGTGTGTAAACGTACACACATATATAGATCATCATTATCAGGTGCCTTGGCGACTGACTGGAGTGGGTGAATATATATATATATATATATATATATATATATATATATATATATATATATATATGTGTGTGTGTGTGTGCGTGTGAGTGTGTGTGTAAACGTACACACAAATATAGATCATCATTATCAGGTGCCTTGCCGACTGACTGGAGTGGGTGATTATATATATATATATATATATATATATATATATATATATATAATATATATATATATATATATATATATATATATGTGTGTGTGTGTGTGTGTGTGTGTGTGTAAGTGTGTGTGTAAACGTACACACATATATAGATCATCATTATCAGGTGCCTTGCCGACTGACTGGAGTGGGTGAATATATATATATATATATATATATATATATATATATATATATATATATATCAATTCAATAATTCAATCAGTGTAATCTTGTGCCATTATATGTTATACAGGGTTGTGAGTCTATTCCTTCATTACGTTCTATCCTGTACAATCATATATACATACTTACATATATGTATATGTATATGTACGCATGTTTATCCGCTGATGGATGACTTTTATAATTTACCACCGCTCTCAGGTCAGCCAGCCTTTAATTTAAAAAAAAAACGTAAGACATTGCTACCATGTCAATTTATTGAAGAGGTGGTTGGCGTTATGTTGACCACATCACCCAACGAATGCCGCGATTGGTCTATAAGATTAACGAGTCTTTCTTTATGTGGCTGAAACGACATTCGCTTAACTTACTTAATTGCCTCCACTCCTTTACTCACTTAACAAACTGTATCATTAGAAAACCATTCAAATCAACTGTTAAGAAAGAAGATGTACCTTCAGTCATCAGAAAATGTGGCCAAGCAAATTCATGCATACCATTGCTGTCAGCGAGCAGGTACCTAAGCTTTTCATTCAACCATGGAATCACTGGCGGGACCACTATGTCAGTGTGTACTCGTTGTCCATTTAGAGCTTTATTCTGAAGATCCGTGCCAGAGAAAGTCACAGCCACAGAATGAGACTGTTGCCTTGATGTATTTGATTTCCCCAAACATTCCTACACAGCTTTTCCAGTTGTCCATTAACAATCAAATTCCAAAGTTCTTTAGGCAGTATGCGCCCTCTCATAAAGCAACTGGATGCGCTTCTAGAGACCTGTGCTAACTTATTATAACTAACTCATGCATATTTATTGTATCTAACTGTAAAGCTGCTTCGTTTTATTATTCCCCGCTGCTAAAATATCTTTTATATTTGCGGAAAAAAAAACTGTTTACCTGAACACTTATGTACGGAAAACACGGGTTTTTCATGTTACCAGGTGGTGTGTGAATATATTTGTACACTTGCATGTCTTTGTGTGTTTGTGTATGCGTGTGTGATATTTGTTTATGTGTGTTTTCAGCAATGTACTTTACATGTTTTTAGTAGTAATTGCATTTTCAGTCAAAATATACATTGCACTCTTGACATGATTTTCCTTGATCATTCAAATCGCTACACTTGGAAATCTTTAATATAGTTATTACAAACCGCTATTGGGTATTTTTCATGACCTTTTCGGGCTTCTAATGTGCAGTTCCGAACCAACGAAAGACTTCGTGACCATACACAGACAAATGGGGAAAATGGCTTATTATATGACTCGAAGAGATCAGCCATTCATCTTTAGGGACGACGCTAATGAGGGTAACCATTGTTTCACTGTAATTGTTGATAATTAAAACTCAACGGTTCCCTTAGTATGTAAAATTAGGAATCGACATTTTAGCACTTGGGACCTTTCCATGAGAGCTTCCTGCCATCTTCAGCACAAACCTGGAGGTCTGATGGTACCACTAACAGTCTAATTGTATATTTCCTTTGAGTGTTGAGCGTCGGCCAGATCACATAGTCACGCCTTGTGTCTTGTGTGTGTTCCTGTTTGTAACGTGGTCTTATGCGTCAACATGTGCTAATGAATATTTTACAAATTATTTATTACTTAAGGTTCTGATTTTTTGCCAGCTTTTCACGAAGCCGTTGGTGGTGTCATCGCACTGTCTGCTCAGACTCCGAAGCACCTGAAAAAACTTAACCTTATCCAGACAGTACCCACAGACGAAGGTAAAACATGGAGATAGTAAATATTTCATTAATTTCTATAGTAAACAGTTGTACATGTGACATTAGAACTACTGGTAGTGTATATGGTAGCGCAGTGACTAAACGCCTGACGGCAAGTTGAAGATCTTGGGCTCAAACTTGCAACATGAAGTTATAACTGACAAGAGATCCCAGCGTTTGTCATAATGGCATGAAAATGTTTCAGCACACAACAGAGACACTTTTGATATTTCAGAATAGTGAGAGGCATTTCTGTTCATGCTTTATTGATTACACTAAAGCATTTGATAAAGTTAAACATGAAAAAATTATTAGAATTTTGGAAACTTTAAACATTGATGGTAAAGATCTGAGAATAAAAAAAAAAAAAAAAAACATACACTGGCAACAAGAAGCAGCCATAAGGATTCACAACCAAGGTGGAAACCTTTCAAAACATTAAACCAAGCGTTAAACATGTATGTGTACTATTGCCCGATTTATTTAACTTGTACAGTAAAAAAAAATAATTAGATCAATACATGGTATGCCAGGAATAGTGGTTGGTGGGCATACTATTACCAATCTGCGATATGCTGACGATATAGTTTTGATTACTGAAAGTGAAACGCAATTGCAAGAAATGATGGATATAATTGTAACGGAAAGCGAAAAAAAAAAATTGTCTTTTTTGAACTGCAGAAAAACAGAAATAATGATAATTACCAAGAAAACTTACGGAAGTGCAACATTATAGTAAATAGGACAAACCTCAAGCAAGTTGATATGTTTAAGTACTTGGGTACCCTGATAACATCAGATAGAAGATGTATTAAACACGTTAAATGTCGAAAAGCTCAAGCAAAGACAGCATATTACAAGATGAAGATATTTTATGCAATCTTTCTTGTCAATTGAGACGAGAAAGAGAATTAGTGAAAGCTAAATAAATCATATATTCATTTACGGGTGTGAATCATGGACAGTTAGTAAACTAGTTAAAACTTTTTTGGAAGCTGCGAAGATGTGGTTTTATAGACGAATGATGAGAATACACTGGACAGATAAAAAGATTAATGATGATGTTTCGACAGAAAGTGGCTCACGGAAAAAAACTCATTGCAGACATAAGAAAGAGACAATTTAAATTATTTAGTAATGTGATGAGAAGGAGAACAATGAATTACATCGTGACGGTAGGATTGTTGGAGGGGAGGAGAGGCAGAGGCAGACAGAGAACAGCTGCTTTACAGTTTGACATCATGGCATTGAAGATCATCTGTGTCAGAGTTGATTGAAAATACACGAGCCAGAAGGTTGTGGATGGACATGACTATCAACTCCACACGGCAAGGACTCCAAAAAGAAGAGAGGCAAGATAGTCGCCTATGCCAGTCGGTACAGATCTCGGCAGAGATCATACACGGTTATTCAAACTGATGGAGACACTTTTTTCATGTATATTTGCTCGAAAATGGTTCACATTTAAATAACATACATACCCGAGAGAGAGAGAGAGAGAGAGAGAGAGAGAGAGAGAGAGAGAGAGAGAGAGAGAGAGAGAGAGAGAGTTCTAAAGTTTACAAACTTACAACAGAGGTTATAGATATTCAATATGGCCAGCGACTGCAGCTCGGCAAACATCTAAGCGGTTATCCGAACTCATCTCAGACACGAAAAAGTATCGCTTGAGAAGAAGAAGAAGAAGAAGAAGAAGAAGAAGAAGAAGAAGAAGAAGAAGAAGAAGAAGAAGAAGAAGAAGAAGAAGAAGAAGAAGAAGAAGAAGAAGAAGAAGAAGAAAGGAAGAAGAAGAAGAAGAAGAGGAAGAAGAAGAAGAAGAAGAAGAAGAAGAAGAAGAAGAAGAAGAAGAAGAAGAAGAAGAAGAAGAAGAAGAAGAAGAAGAAGAAGAAGAAGAAGAAGAAGAAGAAGAAGAAGAAGAAGAAAAAAGAAGAAGAAGAAGAAGAAGATGATGATGTTGATGATGATGATGATGATGATGATGTTGATGATGATGATGATGATGAGGAAATTCTAGAAGTAATTTAACAATTATTATGAGCCTTTTAAAAAAATACGAAACTAACCATTTACCTCTCTCTTCCCCAGAAACTGATATAAACTATTTGATGAACATAGCTTTGTCAGAAGTAGCCCAACTTCTTTTTGGTATATCGTAGACAACTGGCGATGGTCAGTTCTTAATGGGACTACAGCAGCAAAAAATTATAACAAATACTGGTGGCAACTGCGGTAAGTTCTGGTTGGGCGGTTTTAATAGCTCGCATGTAGTCATTATAATCTCAAGTTGATTTTTGTGCACGTGCGCGTGTCCGTATGTGTGTGTGGGTGTGTATATATATATATATAAAAATCAATGTTTGTGTGTTTGTTTGCCCCCTATAGACTCGGAAACTACTGAACCGATTTAGCTGAAATTTTCAGGATATGTTTGTTTTGATACCGGATTTTGAACCATCGTGGTTTGAAATTCAACCTGTCACTGTTAGAGATAGGTGACCACAATTTATGCCATAATATTCGAAACTAATATTTATAACTTTAGTGATTTATAATTATAGCCACGTTACGTGGGATCGATTTACCGTGCATGCGCAGTAGTGACGCTCTATCGTCACATCCCCCCTCATGGAAAATGGCTATCGGTTTTTAGTTGTGTTATCAAGAAATATATAAAAAGGTAAGAGCATTTATTTAAGTAACATTAGTCAGTATGTACATGTTTTTTTTGTTTAATTTTAAACAAATGTGGACCACTTTTTAAATCCCGCAATGATAAATGTATACACATTATCATTAACTATTATCGTCTTTCTCATACCTGATACCCATGAGTACCACAAGTAGTACACAGTTTTGGTTGACTTTCTTCTGTTATTCAAACGAATTATATAAATTTACACAACATTCTTCTCAGGTCAGTGTTAGAATCTAGAAATATCTCAAAAGGTGAGCGCATTTATTACAGTGACATCAGCCATTATGTACATTTTTTTAACTTCAAAGACATGTGTGGACCACTCCTTAAATCTCACAATGATAAATGTATGCACATTATCTGTTGGCGTTCTCATATTGTCTTATATACCTCCTTTTCTTATTATTTGCTGCCCAGCTTCTATGCATTTCCTCTTGAGTCGAAATAGATTGTTATCTCATGCTCATATTTTCATTTATTTCAGTGATATTTCAAGTCACATTTCATTCAGTGCGTGAGGACAAACAAGCTATTGATGATCAGCGCTCACAAAATTTGCAGTTATGCTTCCCAAACGACAAGCGATTGGCCCATCTACACATAAAACACGCAAGAGAATGGCATTATTTGCTTCAGAAACAGACGAGCAACGTGAGGTGAGTGTAATGATGTTATAAATAGGGATAATGTCAGGGGATGATTGGCATAACTGGGGAAGTCCCTGAGAGCATGGGTTTCACGGAGATATGGTGAAACGACAGGAAAGAGTGAGTCACGTGTGAATGAGGAGATCTGGGGGATTGAGAATCAGGCGGGCATTCGGTGACTGGGCCCCAGAGAGAAAGGATGTGAAATGAAGCTGTGAAGATGAATGGAGAATGACTAGAGCATGTGGATCTGAATCGGCGAGGAATGAATGATCGAGAAGGCCAGCTGTGATGGTACCCTGTTTGATTGTCAAAGCCAGCTGTGAATATGTCAACGTCTATTGTCCGAATGCTGTACGTGGATTCACCTGTGATTTGTGTATTGAGCTAAAGTGTAAATAAACTCGTGAAATGTGCCGCTGGTGTTAACCGTTGTTAGACGTTGTGTGACCATGAAGAGGACCATGTCTGCTTTGATTGAGTTGTGAACCTCTAGACCTCAGAGCAAGTGTTAACTCTGCACCACAGATAGCCAGTGTGGAGGAGACACAAAAGGGCAGTCATTACATTGGGGACCCGTCCTAAGTGCGAATACATTGTAAGTTATAAGTATGAGTTACAGTGCAGGCTTGTTCTGACTATGCCAGTACATTAGACGTAGTGTTTTTGTAGACAGAAGTAAAATTTAGGCAAATACCGGCAGCCGTAGGTTTTGAGTGACTATGTGTGTTGGAAGATGGAGTTTAAAGAAATGTCGGGATATTATGTAAGACCAGGACATGCTGTCAAGGGCATTAAGTAAAACCGGGACAACTGAATTCCAGACTCTGGTCATTCTGAAACAAACAAGCTAGCCTGAGAAAAATTGGCAGAAACACGGCGAAATAATACTGGGTAATGTATTCACTTCACGTGTGGAAAAATTGCACAAGTTTCATCCCGCGACGTGGGAACGCTTGTTCGTCGCTGGAAGAGACTGCGTAAGCTGAACTTTTGACCCTTGTGGTGGGTAATCCACGACGGAAAATTTTCAGCAGCAGTATCCCTGTGATCGTTGTTTAACGTGGGTTTTGTTCGTCAAACAAGAGGTCATAAACCAGAGATACTAATTTCGGACTAGATTTCACCGCAAGAACACTGCATTGCCAGGGGCCAAGACGGCACTCAGTTACAGCGAGCAAGGTCATCAACAACGGTCAAGTACAACACAGTAGCAGATAAAACGTCATCAGCGACAGCTAACTCGAGGCAACAGTACAGCACACCGTCCACAGGTGAATGCCTCAGGTCAAGAATACTTGTCAATAAAAAAGAACGGGGTCCAGTCATCACCAGAAGTAGTACTTTTACTACTAAATGTTTGTAATACGTCCGTATAGGTGAGTTCAAGTGTGTATTGTGTAGGCAAGGAAGGAGTGGTGTTTATCAACATTAATTACGTCACAAATGGTTTACAATTTATAATGGATAGACAGTAAAAACAGTGATTAATGTGATAGACTATGACTATTCAGGTTGTAGAGTAGAACTACATACATTCTCTATAAGAAAAGTATTTCAGTGATAATCTAACATTTATCAACAGTTTGTGGTGACTATTAAAAGGAAATTAATATGCGCTAACTGTGAACATTTAGTGATCTGTGCCAACTGATCAACTTCAGTGTAGATTGTTAAACTACAGGGTATAAAGACTTTTGGACATATTTGAATTATTGAATGAGCATAAACTAATGGTAGTCTTTTAAGATCATCTGCAGACTTAGACCACGACAGAAGACAAGAGCAGTGTCCTACAAAGATCAGAAGAGCGTGTCCAGAGACAGTAAAGACGTGCAGTGGAGCATCAAGGGCCACAAACCAAATCCAGTCCATTCCAACAGCAGAAGAGCAAGGGAGCCATCACCAGGACCAAGGAAAAAGAATCAACTCATTACATTGTTACATGCTTTCTTTGTTCTATCTTCGGGTTCTTTGATTGTGATATTCTATTATTCTATTTAAGTAGAGTAGATAATATTTTTTTTATTTATTAGTTGAGTATAAAAATTTCTTAAGGGATATAATTAAATTTAAAATCTCAATTATTTAGTTAAAGAAGGGTATAAATTAAATAATACGGGATTTATTTTAAATTTAAACAGTTTCAAAAGTAATAAATTACAATAATCAGTTCTAAAATGTCAAACCTAGCAGAATACATAAATCTGGGAAAACAGTTAGGGTTATCAGGAGAGGAGTTAAGAAAATTGTGTGAAGGAAGAGAACAGGAAGATAAAGAAGCACAAAGGGTTCAACAACAATTGGATCGAGAAGAAAGAGCCGCAGCACGCGCCCACGAGGCAGCACTGAAAGATAAGCAATTACAACAAGAAGTAGAACTGAAAAATAAACAATTACAACATGAAGCAGCAATGAAACAACAACAATTAGACCATGAGAAAGAAATCAAATTGCAAGAGTTAAAACTTGAACAACAGCGGTTAACAGCACAAATAGAGGCAGACAGACAAAAGGTTGAAGCACAGATAAGAACAAAAGAAATGGATAATGAATCCAAAGCAGAACTGGCAGCACAAAGGGAAAGAGCTAAAGAAGAAGAACATAAATTTACAAAATACAAAGGATTAATAAAGAATTTTGGTGAAAAGGATGACATTGGATCATGGATTTCAGCATTTTTACTACAAGTTCGGTTTCATAAAATTCCAAAAGAAGATTGGGCAATACTGTTCCAAAGACACCTTGGAGGAGAACCGTTAAAAATATTGGAGACAGTGCCAGAAAATTTACGACTTGATTTTGATTATATTACAGACCGGATAATGAGACACTATGACCTACAAGAAGCAGGATACAGATTGCAATTTATTGATTTAAAACCAAAATCAACTCAAACATTTGTTGATTATATGTCCGAAGTTCAGACAACTTTTCAGAAATGGGTAGATTCAGCCAAAATTAACAACGACTATGATCTGTTAGTTGATTTACTATTAAGAAGTAAATTGCTAGAATCATTACCAAAACCTATGACCACATTTCTGAAGGAACACAAACCTACTTCGTTAAAACATCTTGAACAACTAGGAGAAAATTATTATGCAGCACATCGTGATATTTTTCTCATACCAAAAAACACTGATATATACTCAGGCGCCAGTCCAAAGCGGACAGCTAGCTTCACGCCCATTTCAGGAAGTGGCAGTAGATATAATAGGCCCATTATCAGTAGTTTCTGCTAAAGGTAACAGATATATCTTTACGCTTATTGATCTTGCCAGTCGATGGCCTGAGGCTTGGCCACTAAGAACAATTACTGCTGAAGATATCCAAGAAGTGTTGCTACAGATATTTTCACGAATTGGATTTCCCGAAGTTATAATATCGGACAGGGGAACGCAATTCACATCAGTAGTAACGAGAGCAATTACGGATTTGTTAGGGATAAAACAACAATTCACGACACCGTATCATGCTCAGGCAAACGGATTAGTTGAAAATTTAAATAAAAGCATTAAAAAAATGCTAGGCCGCATAACTTATGAACATCCGTCAACATGGGACATTTTGCTACCCGCAATATTGTTTGCATATAGAGAAGTTCTACATATAAGTACAGGAATGTCACCTTTCGAAATTGTCTATGGGGCAAATCCAAAAGGCCCAATTTCTTTACATAAGAAATTAATTACAGGAACAGTAGAAAACAGTGCAACCGGAAATGATTACCAAGCTGTAATTGACTTAAGAAATAAAATAATAACATCATGTGAGGAAGCAAAGGCGGCACTACAAAATTCAGGAATCTGGCAAAGAAGATACGCAAACAGATCAACACGACTTGTAAAATTAACACCAGGAGATGACAGATTGTGAAATAAAAC